ATAAATTAACAAATAACTCTCAGGTTTTTTTGCACTTTATACCCTAATGTTATGTTCATCCATTTGTTTCCTTATAGAAGAACTCTAAAAAAATTAACATTTTAATTAAAACAACATATTTTAAATTGATATGATTTGTGCTATTAATTCAAGCAATAATATTAAAATGCCCTAAAATTCATGAAAAATAAATTGGATTTGGGTCATTGAAATTTTTTTGGATTGAGTTTGGATTAATTTTGCTAGTTATTGAAAAAAAATAATTTTGTGATTAAAAGTGAATTGTACAAATTAAATTAAATAAATAAACAAAATATTTATTGCAATCTTTTGTAAAAATGCGTAAGGTATTGATTAATATTTTTTTTCCATAAATAAGACAATACTAATGGATTTGACTTTTTTTTCATTCCATATAGTATATGATTGGATAATATTTTTTGAATCCTATCCTTATAATCCTCTAATCCGACCCCTTGGCATTGGGTAGGATTGGGTTCGAATTCAAATTGAATCTAATCCAATCCTCTCATGGTGATCCAAACACCACCCTACTCAAATGATGGATTGGATGGATACATAAATACTATCGTCCCTCCGATTGGATTTCATTGCATTGGTTTTGGCTTAAAAATCCAATCCAACTTTGGCTACCCAAACACTTTGGGCATAGTTATTAGAATCGGACAGGATATTGAATTGATAGAAGGATCGGATCAACGATTCACTGATTCAATTGTTAGATTAATTAGTCGTACCGGTTGTATAATAAAAATAAATAAAAAAATTATAATTCATAATAATTTAACTTTAAAAAAATATGTTCATAATGCATTGAATTTATTATAAATTACCATTGCAATTTACGTTTATTTCAATTTTAAAGTTTTACTTTTAGTCTTGTAATTTAGCCATCCATTCATTTTCCACCCAACCAAAATGAACGGTTAAGATTATTTTCAACTTGACCTAGGCAATCAAAATTCCAAAGATCTCTGCTTTTTCTCTTGAACTCCACTCCCTCTGAGACATTTCTGTACCTTTAAGGCTGTTAGATGCCGAAGTGCGAGAGATCAAGTGGAGAAGGTTGCCTGAGTTGCTGAGTGGAGGTCACTTGAGCTTCGAGCAAAGAGGTCGCCTGAGTGGAGAAGGATCGCTTGATTTGGTCGCCTGAGTGGTCGCTGATTAGACTAAATGTTTGAACTACAAATTAATTTATAGATTTAATACAAAATTTCCAACCGCCCGGTTTACAAAATCTGTCCGGTTCATGATATTTGTTCAAAATCGGTTGATTGTACGATTTTTTGATGGTTTGATTTTTTAAACTGTCCAACTAAAGAACTGAATTATTTTAGGTCTCAGTTTATGGTTTACTTGATCGAATCGCTCGATTCGATCAGATTCAGATAACCCTGCTCGGGGTGTTTGTTTCACCAGATTACTAGGGATTGGGTGAGGTATTGGCTTAAAAATATCCTAGGGGCCCATAAATCCTTCATTTGAATACTTAATTTGGGGTGGGATATTCGTTGGGTTTGAAAACCTGAGCCCGTAGGAAATGGAGCCATTTTCAATTCTGAAATGGATATCTGAAACCCATGAAAAGTTTGGGATTAAAATTCTACCCACAGGATAAATTTGGATTTTACTAAAACACCCCGCAATATTTTTCCTAGGGTTTTTACCCACTTTTCACCTCCCATTTCAACCGAATATTCCTTTCTTTGGCAAATAGTGCAAGGGAAGAAGAAGATCAGATTTTTTCTCTTTGTCTCTAGGCTTATCGGTTTCTCTTTTTTGGCTTTCGAGCTCTGCTAGGTGGCTTTGTCCATCTCTATCTCTCTATATATATCCCTTTCCTCCCCCACTCTGTCTCTCCCTTTCTTCCATCTATGTCTCTCCCTTTCTTTCCCCATTCTGAGCTTTGGTTTACCGAGTAACAACCCTAGGCGATTTGATGGATCTTTCTCTGTCTCCTTCTATCTTTCTGGTCTGTGTGTATTTGTCGGTCATTTTGTTGGATATCTGGTTCACCACCAACCACCCTCCAGATTGACGGCATAACCATAAATATGTGCAAGTCTTTTTGGTTTTTGTGTCTTTTCATTTTCTATTAATTCAATAATATGCATAACCTTAAAACTGAAGAAAATTTAGAATCAGTGGTATCTTTAGAGATGGGTGATTCCTAGGGGCCGGTTGGATTTCTTTATCTTTTTTCTTGTTTTTTTGTTGTTGTTGTTGGTAGTTACTTACCCCAAACAGAAAAAAAAAATCTGTTTATATGAGACCACCCAAAAAAAAAAAACAAAACAAAGAAAATGTTGAATTATAATATGACTTTAATTATTTTTAATTTTAAAAATTAATTTTGTAGGTCTTCTTATTAAACATGCGGTTACAACAAATACAAATAAAAGAAATTATAATCGAAATAATCTACATTAACAACTATTGTCATTTCAAAAATATTTTTAAACTAGTCTTACCCATTCAAACATGCATAAAATTGGATTACTTTAAATTGGAAAAGGGTGTAATGATCATTTTAGCCTTCATTGTATTACACATGTGCATGGTATCCACATTTAACATATTGTCTACCCAAATAGAGGATTGGATGGAATACCAATATCATGACCGGATTTCATTGCATTTGGTTGACTTGGTTTGGGTTTAAAATTCAATCTAACTCAATTCTCCTATAGTGATCCAAACACACCCTCCAGGTTGGTTTTTAATCCCACACAGCCTATGTTCCATGTATCCGGTAAGGGATATTGGGCTCCATTTCCTATGGGCCGACTTTTTCTTACCCAATGAATATCCCATCTTAAATTACATACCCAAATGAAGGATTTGTGGGCCTCATAATTTTTTTTTACGAATTCCCACCTAATCCCCCAGGGCCCCATCACTTATCTTGATCGTTGTGAAGGCTTCCTTTAGAGTGTCTTACAACATCTTTAACAAAAATTTTGTATTTTAATTATCTAAAAGTTTAGTTTTTTAATTTTAATTATTCACTTTTTTAATACATTCTTTAATAGATTTTTTTATATATTTTAACTATTTGTTTTAAATATTATTTATCATATCTTTATATATTTGTTAGGACTATTAAAGGAAGAAAGAGAAAAAATGGTAGGAAAAATAAAGAATAGACAAGAGAGGTGAAAAATGACAAGAAGAAAAAAAAAATATTATAAACTATTTATATATAATACTACAGTGACATTCTAAATATAAAGTATCACCGTAAAAAATATATATTTTACCTACTTTGAATATCTTCTATTGAAATATAATTTTTTACCTTTAAATAATTAAATTTTAGTTATTTTAGAGTTTCAACTATTCTGTTAGAAACGCTCTTATTAGACAATACCTGGAGTGTGAGTGAGTTGGACAGAGGCTCAAGAGTCTGTTTTTTGATCGGATTGGATATATGTGTTGAGAGGATTTAAACACCATTACCAATAAAAAATTGTACAAACTTAATAAATAGTTGTCAACTATCACCTCATACAACTTACATGTTTCATAAATTATTTTTATATCAATCTCTCATTAAGTGTATATGACAATGTCATATGCTGTGCTAAATCCATATAATTATTTTTACGTTCGAGGGTTTTTTTTTTTGTTTGATCTGATCTGTTCGAGGGGTTGATATGCATGTGTAGCTGGTCTAATTGCATCATTGTCTTGTCTCCATAAAAATTTTGTCTTTTAGTGATTCACACAAATACTGTCCACCATCACTTGTGCTTATCAACTTCTTTAGTTTCTATTTTATTTATTTTTAGCTGCTGACTAAACTCAATAGGTAATATAATAGATAGACTTTATTTAATAATCTTACTTCTTAATCTTATTATTCTCGGTCATTAAATTGACAATTAATTAGAACTTATTATTAGTTCAATGACTATGATTTATCATATTATCAAATAAAATTATTACATTAGATAAATAAAATATTTTGCAAACCCAATTAGTGTAAGAAAACAACAAGTAAGTATATAGTGAAAATAGTAAGAAGGGCCGTTCAGAAGAAGAGACCTAGGGCAGCAGACAAAGAAAGGCATGCAATTATATTTGGTGATGACGTCTCCGTTACAGGCGGCCACCAACATCCTGCTTTACAATTTATTTCGATTTATAGGTAAAATATATTTTAGTCCCTTAATAATGTGCTTTGTATTTGTTTAGCCCCTAATTTTTTTATTATGTCAATTTGATCCTTTAAATATTCAATTTGTTTCATTTTGATTCAATGAAAACTAACAGTTTAAATTAAGTATAGAGGATGATCACGTATATTTCACATGATCATAATTGAGGGATTATTTTTAAAACATAAAGGGTTAAAGGGATTAATTATAAACATGAAGGACTAAAATGATAAATATTAAAAATTTGATGGACCGAAGTGATCACGTAAGACACACTTGAAGACATGAAGGATTATTTTTAAAACTAAAGGTTTATTGCTGATTTATTGTTTTGTTATAGGGGAATATTCGCATCGGTATCCTCGTCATGTCACGTGGCAGGCCTGAAATGAAGCCAATTGTTATTTTATTAGCTGTGACCGTTAGCATTGATAATCAAATTAAATTATTTAAGTTGGACTGAGGTTTGATTTATTTTGGACTCTGTTTAAGTATGATATATTTTTTAAATAAGTCGAGCCTAAAGAGTCGGTTCAAACTTACAAAGTTTAGTTTATTTATAAATAAAATAGTCAAATTACTTAAATTTAACTCGAATTCGACTCAATTTAAATTTATCTCATTTTTTAAATAAATTAAATTTATATAATTTTTTAAACTTACTTAAAAAAAAAAATAGAAACTCGAAAACCTATGGACTCGGAGTTCATATCCCCCTTAAATAAAGGTGGCTACTTCTTGCCATGATAATCCTATCTGTTTGTGTGTGTGTGTGTGTGTGTGAGAGAGAGAGAGAGAGAGAGAGAGAGAGAGAGAGAGAGAGAGAGAGAGAGAGAATGGATTCCTGTAATTTGTTAGAGAAGCCTCATGTAGTTTGCATACCATACCCAGCTCAAGGCCACATAAACCCCATGATGAAGATAGCAAAACTCCTCCATTACAAAGGCTTCCATATAACCTTTGTAAACACCGAGTTCAACCATAAACGCCTCCTCAAATCCCGAGGTTCAGACTCACTCAACGGCCTCCCATCCTTCCGATTCGAAACCATTCCCGACGGCCTTCCTCCATCCGATATCGACGCCACCCAAGACATCCCCTCCTTGTGTGAGTCCACTTCCAAACATTGCTTGGCTCCATTCAGAGACCTCCTTTCCAAACTTAACGACACCTCCTCGAGCGTACCTCCCGTCACTTACATAGTTTCTGATTGTACCATGACCTTTACAGTCGCAGCTGCAGAAGAACTAGGCATCCCTGTAGTTATTTTCTGGCCAACCAGTGCTTGTGCCTCAATGGCCGTCCTGCAATTCCGCAATCTCATCGACAAGGGCTTTATACCTCTCAAAGGTAATCTATTAACTGGTTAAATCAACTTTGGGTTCGTAAATGAATTTTGATTCATTGGGTTGTGTCAGAAGAAAACCCTTGAAGATTTTTTTTTTTTTTTATAAGTTTTATTTTGACGTTAGCATTTGTTATTCTCTTGATGTGCAGATTCTACTTACATAATAAATGGGTATTTGGATACAGTCATAGACTGGATCCCTGGAATGAAAGGTGTTTGTTTGAAGGATCTTCCAAGTTTTATTAGAACCACGGACCTGAATGATATTGTCATGAAATTTTTCTTGAATGAAGCTGAGAGATCTAAAAGGGTTTCGGCGATTATGCTGAATACGTATGAAGTATTGGAGCATGATGTTATCGATGCACTTTCATCCATTCTTCCCCCAATTTATACTGTTGGACCTTTGCATTTGCTCGAAAATCAAATTAATGATAACGAACTGAAGTTGCTTGGATCAAATCTTTGGAAAGAAAGGTCAGAGTGTCTTGAATGGCTCGACTTGAAAGAACCTAAGTCTGTTGTTTATGTTAATTTTGGAAGCATCACTATCATGACACCCAAACAACTTGTTGAGTTTGCTTGGGGATTAGCTAATAGCAATCAAATCTTTTTGTGGGTAGTAAGGCCTGATCTTGTTATTGGTGATTCAGCTGTTCTTCCACCTGAATTTGCGGCAGAGACAAAAGATAGAGGCCTATTAGCAGGTTGGTGTCCTCAAGAAAAAGTTATTTGTCACCCTTCCATTGGCGGATTTTTAACTCACAATGGGTGGAATTCCACACTTGAAAGTTTAAGTGCTGGAGTGCCAATGATCTGTTGGCCATTTTTCGCGGATCAACCGACCATTTGTTGGTCTTGCTGCACTCAATGGGGCGTTGGCTTGGAGATAGACAACGATGTTAAGAGAAATGAAATTGCGAGCCTTGTGAGAGAGTTGATGGTTGGAGAGAGAGGCAATGACATGAAGAAGAAGGCGTTGGATTGGAAGCAAAGGGCCGAAGAAGCCACTAGAGGTTCAGCTGGATCATCCTACATGAATCTGGAGAAAATGATCAACCAAGTGCTTCTCTCCCAGAAACAACATACGCCATAAGACACAATGCAATCCAAAAGATTATGCTGCAAAACAATGATTTTGATTTCACAGAATAATGTTCCTTATGTGAGTTATGTCCCTCTAAACAAAATGTAAGAATTGCATGTCTGAGCAGAATATTATAGTTTAAAATCTTTGAGCCTGTCTGGCTGCCTCAATTTTGCAATTGTACAGATGATAAAACATTTAGTGCTATGAAATGGAGGAGCTTCAGACAGCAACACCCACCACAGAGCAAAGCAAACTTAAACAGAGGAGGCCTTGTAAACAACAGTTACAGGTTTGATTTGTTTATAAGACGAGCATTTTGACACTTACTGAAGCTTGGAGAGGAGCACCTTGGCAACCACTTTATCATAGTAGTTATTGTAAGATGACCCAGTTGGACTAGTGGCTTCTTCAGCCAACTTCTTCCACTCCATTGCTTTTCTCTTAATCTCTTTCCCCTTCTCTCCAGCCATCAACTCGCTCACTAGCCTCTCTACTTCCTCTTTTGTAAGATCTGTTATCTCCATGCCTATGCCCCAATGGTTACAACAGAACCAACAATTGGTTGGTTGCCCTGCGAAAGCTGGCCAACTTATCACACATGGGCGCGAGGGCTTCCAAAACATGATGCTCCGAGACATCAATTGTACTCAAAACGATGGCAGAAGCACTATGAGAATTCTCGGCCTCGTTTATGGCAAAATTAAGCATAACATATTTCGGGTTTGTGATTCGTATGAAAGCTGGGAGCTCATTCAAACGTATACCTTTCATGCCCGGTATCCGATCAATAACTGTGTCTAGGTACCCATAAGTCATATCACTGTCACCTGCAGTTCACATCATTGGTGGATTAGAAACCAGACTCAAGATGCAATGCTACAGAAGCCAGAGGAAATGCAAGTTTGTCGACGGCTTTGGGGCCGCGGGAACGGAGGAGGCGGCGTTGGTTGTACTCTGTTTTGACGAAGGTTATTTTGAAGCCTCTCTGGTATAGGAGTTTTGCGATTTTGAGCATTGGGAATACATGGCCCTGTGCTGGGTTTGGGACCATAACCGCATGAGGCTGAGGTTTCTCTGTGGTTCCCGCCATTGTTCTTCTCTTGGTCTCTCACTCCTCGCTACACCTTTATAAGGTTGGCAATGGTCAAGTGTACAACGTGACTCTGCCTCACCCGATTGGGCAAACCAATGGGATATAATGGTATGGGTTTCGTAATAAACTCAAAATAAATGTTAATTGTTCATTTTATATTGATTTATTTGTGATTATTAATTTTAAATATATTAAAATAATAAAATATAAAAAAATTCACACATGTCGTGCTATGACTTGTAGAAATTAAGAAATATGATACTAAAAAGTAATTTTACCGATTTCGATACATTCACGAAACATATTATAATTCCCCCGATGCACTTGCCCTGTTTCAAAACTGAATTGAGTATACTTTAGCATATTGGGCTCGTTTAAAAGTAAAATAAAAAAATCAGGGTTAAAAAAAATTTTAGAACCGTTTGGAGTGATTAAAAAAAACCGATTTTTTTCTTAGAAGCACTTTGATAAGCCTTTAGACTGATAAAAATTATTTTTGCCCAAAAAACTAATTGAAAAAACACCCAATAAACCTGGGTCCAAAACCTTTATTCGAGCCTTTCTGTTTTGAAGAATATTTGGTTAAGTTAAAAGAAAGATTAGACTATGGGCTAAGCTTAGGAAGGAAGAAATGTGTTTCCTCAAATGAATTGAGGCAAAAAAGAAATTAGCTAAAGATCCCTCTTTTGAAAAGGCGAGAGTGTAAAGGAAAAAGGAAAAGCGATTTGATGCGCAGGAAGGAAGAAGCATAATGGGAAAAACAGAAAAATTCCTTTGTTACCACCCAATTTTTAATCAAAAACATAAAGAGAAAGATCAAAGATGAGAAGTTGTTCTATGACTTACTTCTTTTGGTGCTCTTTCCTCAAGTCAATTTTTAACTTTTCCTTTAAAATGAGTGTTTTGTCCTGACCTAAGTGCTCAATTCGTCTTTAGTTTTCTTTTTAATTTCTACGCATTTCACTACTCCATTTAAAATTCCCTCTGTCCTTGCCATACTTCAGTTTGGCAGTTTCCATCCACTTGGTAATTGTTTTAGTGTACTCTTTTAATTTGCTATGCATTTGTATAATTTATTGTAGCACTATTGGTCCTTGAGGTTTGTCATTTATAAAACATTGGTCCCTAAAGTTACAATTTCAACAATTTAGTCCTCAACATTTACACATTTAACCAAATTCGTCCATAGTCCTAATTGCAGTCTAAAAAGTTGGTGGGAGGGTCGTGTGAGGGGCATTATGGGAATTTTGGCTGCTTTCCCGCCCGCCCTCTTCACTTCTCCATATACTCGTCTTGCAACACTAATTCCTAAGAAGACCAAACAGAGCACACGTAAGTGGAGAAGGAGAGAAAAGGAGCAGCCATCTTCACAATCCTAGTAGGAGGTTGATGACAATGAACACCGACTGGGAGAAGGGCCCTAATTCTAACGTCTTGGACAGATCAAAACCTTGGTAGGAGGCTTCGGTGATGCTATAATTATGAGGTAAATGTGCAGATGTAATTTTGATTTTTCTCTAATAGTAATAATAATAATAATAATAATGTATTTTAGTTATTTTTTGTAATTATCAGATCAAATAAAATGTTGTTAAATGTAGCGAAATGATGGATGTGATCACTTTGATAGATTTCATCCTCCTATATGTATGCAATTCAAGAATCTAGTACCAAAGTTTGCTGTTGAGGATCAGAAGGATGAAAGGCCTGGTGAGGAGATATTGGCGCCGAAATAAGATGTCGTGGATATTTTTGATTCTAACATGGGTGATGTTATTTACCCATTGGAGTAAGTTAGTTCAGAGCATCTCTAACAATAATAGCTATTTTAATTACCCAATAAACAACTTTTTCTATTTTAGCTACTCATTTTTTCAATATATATTCTAACAGATTCTCTTTATTTTTTAACTACTTCTTTTAAATATTATTTATCATTCCTTTTGTATTATATTTTTTGAAAATAATAAAAGGGAGAAAGGAAAATAATGAAAGAAATAAGAGGAAGAGAGAGAAAATAATATATATAAATGTTTACATATTGCTACAGTGACACTCTATATTTAGAGTATCGTTATAACAAAAAAATGCATTTTACATAATAGAAACAACATCTGTTGGAGATAAATTTTTATTCCAAAATAGTTAAATTTTAGCTATTTTATCCATTTGAAGCATCTGTTAGAGGTGCTCTTTCGCTAGCAATGGGGAAGGGAGTACTCCTGTAAAGCCCAACGTTTTGGGATGGATTTTTTAATGGTTGGGTCTGACCCTACCCAAGCGGGCCAAGCCTGTCCTATGTCCATTTAACTGAAAATAAGAAGGGCAAGGTGCATATTGGAAAAGTTAAGCAATTGAATTAATTTGTTGGTCTAATTATATTTTGTTATTAGATTAACATTAAATTTTAATATTAATTGAGACCGGGCCACTACTCATCAAATGATATTGATTGATGAGTTGAGTAAGTTAGGTCCAATATTATTATAGGTTGGACTTAAATTCATGCATAGTCCATATGAATTACCTCCTCATTGCACTTGTTCATGAGACAATACAAAGATGATCCGGTATTGTTTATGCTTCAATAATCGGCAGCTCATAGTGGCATTTGATGAGTCCAAACCTAACTAATTAAGTAAGTTCAAATCAATTAAAATGCAATTCAAGTCTAATTCTTGAATTCGACCCAATCCAGCATTTAAGGAGTCTAAGAAAATTAGAGTACGTGGGGAGCAATCACCAAAATAGCCACATTTGAAAATCTAGACAATCTTTAATTATACACATCTTTAGTTGTATTTATCCTCCCCGAAAAATTAGTACTTTTACCCTTACGTCACTGTCTCAACTAAAGTTCTGTGCCTATAAATTGTAAACTCTCTCAACATGAGAGGACATCTCTCTACACACCCTTTACATAGCTATTTCTCTCTCCTAGATACCATATCTCTCTCGAAACTCACATTTGCTCGCGCTCTCACCTTACTTTATTAATAAAGGTTTTTCAGCCACCGTTGCCACTTTCGGAGTAAAATAGCCCTTGACCGAACTACTATACATCTGTGTATTGATCTAGTATTTTCATTTAATATTAATTGTTTATTGATTACCTCATTAATTGTCCTAAATCACATATTCGACTGTTAATTGTACATAAACATGTTTCGTACCTCATCAACATTCATGGTAATTTTAACCTGAAAGAGAATATATAGAACCCTCGTGTACCTCAACCCCATCAAATGAAGAAGGAAAAGGAGCATGATCATGACCATGGCCAAATGAAGTGATGTGGTCTTTAAGTGACCTCTTGTGCTTGAAGTCAGAACCACAAACGCATAGCCACCGTTTGCCACAATTCTTCTCATGGGTTCTCCAGTCACCTTTCACGGCAAAGCGCTTATTAGCGCACTTGCGACAGGCGAAGCGCTTCGTGCTGTGCTTCCTCTTGTAATGAGTCTGTAGGGTTCTGAAATCTTTCAGTGCCTTTGCTCTTGGGTGGTTTATGTTGTTCTTGCACCCTTCTTCACAACAGTAGCATCGAATGCCTAACATTGTTCGTGGCTGCTTTCCTTTCAGTGACTCAGGCCCTTTGCGATACTGTGATCCATGACCCCACATGTGCATCTACGACAACAATCATGGATGTATAATTTTAAATAATATTATTGTTATAATAACAATAACAGTGTGATAGATATTTAATATGTCGGACATTAAGTAATAATAAGAAAACAGATGTGTGGATTTCTTTTAAAAATCACACCTCTCCCTAAAATGGATGGATTATTGCATGTTTCAATTCCAAAATCAAGTAACTACAGATTTTTAATGGTTTTTAATACATGTCATCATATCATGGACATAATATTAATATGTTAAACAGGTCTCTAATTTTTTTAGGCGTTAACACATTAAAAAAAATTAGCAATTCCATTTTTATTAGCTGAAAATTTTTAAAATCACATGTTCAACACAGAGAGAGAGAGAGAGAGCATTTTTATTTAGGCGATGAAGAGAGAGCGTGTATATTTAGGCTATGAAGTAATTACACCTGAAGATTGTTGTAGCGGTTGAAGGTTTTATGGCAGATAGGGCAGGAAAAATTGGTGAAACCGACTAGTATTTGCGCAGGAGTTGGTATCCAATACTGGGTAGCAGCATCTCTCTTTTCAGCATCACTTGTATTCACAGAGCCATTGGCGCAATTAGGAGGGCCAATGTGCAAAGCAACAGTGATTTCCTCCTTATCTGAATGGCTTGAATTAGGGTTTCTCTCATGTCGTGTTTCAGGTGAATGAAACAGACATAGGGTTGGCGATGGCTCGGGAGAACTCTGAGTTTTCATTGGAAAGAAATTGAATGTCTCAGTACCATTATGGTTGCTTGAAGAAGAGGCTAAGAGACAAAAACCAAAGGACATACCTGAGGGCTTCATGTTTATGATTGCAAAACAAGTATGAAGATTATAGCCTTTTAATGAGATTATAGCCTTGGTTAAAGGGTTGTGATTTTGTGATGAGTTTGTAAGTTGTAGTGAAAGGTAAATGGGAGAGAAAGAGATTAGAGGGAGGGTGGCTGGAGAGAATAAGTTGGTTGGTTGAAAACTACCTTTGTTAGAGGTGTAGTTAATCTCTGCTGTTTGTTTCTTCATCTTTTTTGGGTATGGATAGCAAATACCTTAATTATAGTGGCCCATGGCTTCTAAATTTTGAAAGAATTCTGACACAGAATGTTTTTAGTTCTATGACAATAAGTTATCTAATCTTGTTCATCCTCAAACCAACTTCGATGTAATAACAATCCTGTTAAAGAAAGGAGGTTTTAGATCCCATTAATACTTTTTCTCTTGGTTTTTCTTACGGTAGATCACTCCTATGTATTAGTAGAAACTTACTTACATGCGTTGAACCTCAATTCAGAATTCACGAGTTGTTGAGGACAATTGAGCGAATATGTATTATAGGTGATCTCGGTTTGAGAGAAGGAGGTTTGTATTGAGAGGTGGGAGATGATAGTTTCTAATTAAGAACCCGCATGTGGGACCTCTTATTTATGTCTTTTTCCTAATCATCACAGTTATTGCATTGAAGAAAAATCACTGCATAACAAAAATGGTAAGTGACCTTTTGCTTGGATCAACTATATGGAAATATTAGTCTTTTATCAGTTACTTGTCATGGCCATTAGGAGAGGCGGCAATAGGCAGCCCTTGACTTTATTGATTACAAGCTGTTATTTAGTCACTACAACTCATAATAGTAAAAGTTTTTTTATACTTTGTACTTTGAAAGATATCTCGATTCTCATTTTGTATTTTGAAATATTATTTTTCTCATATTACATCTTGAATGTTATAAATTAGTTTTAACGTGGATCTCAAACTAATATCTATTTTAGATTCGGTTAAAAATTGATGCATATGCCAACCAATGATATGAATGGTGTGTTTATAATTTTGTCCAAGAGCAATACACGTAGTTGGCATGTATATTAATTTTTAACAAAATCTGAAATGAATATGAGTCCGAGGGCCACACTGAAACTAATTTATGACATTGAAGGTGTAATGAGAAACAAAATATTTTGGTATATAAAATGAAAATCGAGATATCATTTAAAGTACAAAATGTAAAAAACCCTAAAGTAAAAAATAAAATGAGGACCCAAATAAGAAAGAGAGACACACTATCTCATTGTCTCCAAATTAGTATGGATACTAATCTCTTATCATTCAGTTTACTTTAATGATATTCAAAACCACATATTTTCATATTAGTATCATAATTTTAAGAATAATTTTTTAATCATTGTTTGAATTTCTTGGATTTCAAGAACCCAAATTTTCGTGTGTGTGCAAAAACCAAGAGTTAAACCCAACTTGAAGTAAGTCGTTATTCCTCTTGTGGGTTCTAAGTTGAACCTTCCAAACACAATATTTGGCAAGACGAAAGTCATCCAAAAATGCCTGAAAGCTTGCCTAAAGAGTATTCTAACCAGTGTTTTAAAACTCTGCCTGGACCGGCGAGTCAACTCAGTGAATCGGTCCCCTAACCGTGCCGGTTCTAACAAAGACCGTTTATGCAAAAAACCCGAAATAAATCTGTTGAACCAGTCAAAAACCGGTAAACTCGTGAGAACCGGACAAGTTTACCAAATCGGCCGATTTAACATCATTTCTATAAATATGAGATACTTTTCAATGTTTTCATCATTTGGGCATTTTCCCCTTTTGTGCCCTAAATTAATCCACCAGACCAAACACCAGTGACAACAACTGAGCCTCCACCACCAACCAACGACTGAACTCAGCCTCCACCACCAACGACGACTGAGCACAGTCCAACTCCAACCTCCACCAGCAAGCAGTAGCGACTAGCAACTCCAGTTTAGGCATTAGCGATTGAGCAACGACTCCACTAGGCACCATCGATTGAGCACAGCTCCACAACTGAACAGCGACTCCACTAGGCACCAGCGACTGAGCAACGACTCCAGCGACTGAACATAGCCTTTAGTCCAGTGACAAGGTGAGTTTTGTCCCCCCCCCCCTTCTCTATCCCTCTCTCTCCACCTATATGTGTATTTATGTTTCTGTATCTACAATTTGTGTGGTTTGTGATATGATGGTTCTCTGTTTTCTAATTCTTGACACATATTGTTCTTGGATTTTTTGCACCACATTGTACAACAATCAAAATGAGTTTGTTCAAATTGACTCTGTTTAATCAGTGTCATTGAATAGTTTGTATTTGTTAGATCCCCAATCTCAAGACTCTATGATCAAGAAATGCGTTTTGTTTCTTATTTCTCGAAATCTAATGTTGTTGCATTATCAGTTTGAATACATTGAAATTAAATACATATTTGATAATTTTTCTTTATATGTTTGATGTTATTTTTATAATTATTGTGATTTTTTAACCTATTAATTAGTATTTATAATTTTTTATTATATTATCGGTCTGACCAGTGACCCATTAACCCAGTCCCTTTGCCTGGTTGACATTTGGGCTGGGTTTTAAAACTATGATTCCAACAACTCGCCAAAATGCTGCTTACCCCTAACCTACTGGAACAGGAGAATATGCATTAATCACTCTATATGTTTTGCTTTCCCATTTTCTAAAATTGAAGTGCTGAAAATCATGAACATTTGTCCACCTACAAAGGATCCCAAACATTCCCATTCCAAAAAGTGAAACTTTGACAAAGAAGATCACTCCATGGTTCTAAAATTTTGAATTTTATTTCCATCAAATAAAGGGGGAAGTTATCAGTGGTGTTCTGCAGCGTTCATCAAAAAATTTTATTGAAGGACTGGCAATCCCTCTCAACTTGTCATACACCAATGTAAGATCTTTCGTAACAAAGAGAAATGGAAAAAAAAATGACACAACTTTTTTTTTCCCCCCTATTTGACTGAAAAAAATGGCATAATGTGTTTGATTAGTCCACCTTTGCAGGGTCACTTGCAGCGGTATTCACTAATAGATTCAGCTTTGGACCAAATCAGAAAGAATTTATGAATGGTTGATAAGAGGAAAGATATAGAGAGATGAACAACTTTGGCTGTCAAGATTGTTGAATTAACACTTTCACCATGTTTTGATGAGCTTCTTTCTCTCTTAGGTCCTTGGACTATCTGAAGTAATGACCCCAACTTCCGTTTCTGTTGACGTATGCTGGGGAGTCTGTGAATCTGACACCAATTTTGACAGGTTATATGTGAAGATCGTGATTAGCTTATAAATATGAGTTGGAAATACAAAACATGTAGCCATGCAAGACACACAAGCGGAGAGATGCAAGAACGGAACAAGCGAACGATTGTACAAATTATAGAAGGCTAGCTATGCATGATGTTTCGAACTCTGTCATATTAGTAAACATGTTTGTGACAGTATATGTTGTAAGTTATCAAGTTTATTTGAATATTGCCTTTATTTGCTATAGTGAATGCTCTTTCTTCTTTAATTTTTTCATTTTTTTCTCAGCATATTACCCCGTTTAATCTGTGAACTGAATTGTTCTTCAAATAAAAGGATCATGGCACTATTCATCGGATTCAATTAGGTTTTTCCTAAATCCATATCTCAACTTAACAACTGCTAAATCAAGGTTGTCCAATGTATGAGCTTTTGATGCTTTAATTCTTTAATCAATACTCCAATTATTAATAATGTTAGACTATTCTCAAAGGTCAAAGTTTTAGTGCAATGACATCTATTTGTTCCACGAGCAATGGCCAAAGATAAAAAGATACTACCATCTTTTGAAGAAAGAGTAGGTTACCAACCTGGTATACTTTGATTAAGAAGTCTATTGAAACAACTCAACTGCTAAGATAAATTTTGTATAGAAAACACATTATCATTTTTTTACAGTGCTTAATATTATGACAGTTTACGGTATAGTATTTTTTCTTTATGGGGGTAGTATAGTTAGTTGAAACTTAATGGATACTATGAGTCCTAAAAATCACACTATATTGTTTGATAGGAAACAAAACAGCTGTGGCCATAGCCTTTTGTGATCTTCCATCTACCTCTCTTATATCAATGCCACAATCTAGCAGGAACCGTGGGCCTCATGAGATACAGCCACTGGACAGCATCTTCAGCAGTAACAGTATCTCACATGTCTACATTTTGCCCATCTGGCATGATTTTCCATTGACCCATGATTGGTCACAGCACAAACTAGACAGCTAATGTCACATGGCTGGGGTTTCCCATGTGGACCCTGCCATCCCCAACCCATATTTTTTTTTTTTCAATTACGAGGGGTGTTTGAATCATCTTATATACATCTTGATTAATCTCATTCAAAATTCAGTTAAAAGAAGACCATTCACTTTAAAATTATAATATTCATGAAAAATTTATCCCTCATGACCTGACCCTGTCAAGATTCAAATTCAGGACGTATGATTTTACAATTATCTTTTTTATTACTTGAATTACTCCTTTAAAGTAAAGATTAAAAAATATATTTATTTTTTTTCATGATGGAGAAACTCTCAAAATTAAGACCAAATTCACCCCTCCACGCAAATCCCGAATATATACAATCACCCATTAACTATAAGTATCAATACTTAAATCTGGGATGTCTAAACTTTCGGTTCACCATTGGGCTACCCATGTGAGCATGTCATGCTAATTAACCACATACAGTTGTATAGGTATGTGTGTGAGTGTGTGAATAAAGAATCGCAAGATAGTTACCTGTAGAAGAAGCATATGAATGCCTGATTGGTTGTAGTAAAGTAGGAGGAGGAGGAGGAAGAGGATAAGAGGGGAAGGACCCCTCTATCTGTGTATTAGGATAATAGAGATAGGATGGTCCTTGGATACGTTGACCTTGGGGAGCAGAAAACGTTCCCCTTGAAGCTTGCATGGAATATCCATAATAATAGGGAGATCCTAAGGTTGAAGACGTAGGTCCAAACAGTTGATGATAGTACTGTGGTTGCTGAAGTTGAGGGTTAAACATAGTCTGCACAATCAATAATATCGTTACACTGTTAAAGCAATTATTTCTTTACATCCTTGTGTTTGTTTGTCTGTGTGTGTGTGTGAGAGAGAGAGAGAGAGAGACTAACTTGGTGGTATCCATATTCAGGTGGGTAGGTTGCATACCTGCAAATGTAGGATTCATGGTTATAATTGTTTAGCAAAACAAGCATGCATTAGAACATGACAAGAGAGGTTTGCTCAGTCATTATGAAATTTTCCTTTTTGAGAAGAAATTAGTGAAAGCAGAATTTATATCAAGTTGTATAGAGTGGTAATAACTTAGTTTAAAGAAGACCCAAGGGTCCTACAGGCTACAACCAGAGCAACTGATACCACCAATATTGTTAGTTATGGTGGGTCCCGGAATTAAATTCAAGCATAGGTTTGAAATCAATACTATAATAAATTTAAGCACACGTCATATGTTTTTGTAGTATATTTTATTATTAAAAAAATGAAAAAAGAAAAACTACACCCCTTAGTCCCTTACAATGTCCCTGCCTCTCATTATCCCATTAACTACATATCACATTTCTCATATTTATACCTCCAACTATATATAGCAATTTGTTATACATTGCCTAAGCCGTTGGCAACTTGGCATCCATCACAAATTGGCCGAAAATGGGTGTCACTTTTGTCCTCTAAATTATGTGAAATTGTGGTTTTATCCTAAAATTTAATGAAAGGTGGATTTTTTATGCAAAACATAAAGACCACTTTCTTTTAATGTGAAACTAATTCAAGCAATCGAGAAGGTAATATGAGAAAGTCAATGACATATGTGGTAAAATGAAACTAGGGCTCTAATTTAAGGGTACAATAAGTAATTTACATTAAGAAAACAAGTATGAGATTGGATATTACATCCGCGGGTGCACATCATAGCCGGCATCCAAATAAATTAGAAAATATTCATTACAACAGTGATATCATGTCATTGATGACATGAGATCACCATTGAATTTTTTTTTTGGTTTGTATGTGTGTGGTATGTATTATATATCCGTATTGTGGATTTGCATAACCTAGTCGATAAAATTTCAACTCAAAACAAATGGTTCATTAACATGACAAGGTATGGCTCTCAATGCTTTTGTATCCATGTGGCTGTCATGAAATGTAAACGATCTTTAGTTTTGTTTTAAATTGAAAATTTACAATGATATGGTGTCTCAACATATGTTGCAGATCAAAATATACATACATACATATAGAGAGAGAGAGGGGGGGGGAGAGAGAGAGCAGTTCATAGCATAATTACTTGGTTGACAACTGTTTTTTGAGAATCATAATCTGCTCGTTATGGCTGATAGAAATCCATCTATATTCTAATTGCATTGAAATAAATGCATGTTTACGATTTCAAAAGTACTTTTTGACTAATGTAATATCAATCAGAACTTTATTATATATCAGTATATTAATGCAAATTATAAGTTATCTTAAATTTTTGTAACAAATATCATTATTCTTACTGTTTTGACCGCTAAAGGCATCTATTCCTCAACATTGGTCAGGTCTACATCAGGCCAATCTCACCAATATTTACCTACGTCAATCTGAAGGAAAGAAATCTAATGACAGTTTATCAAATCAAACAGTTTTTGTTTTTTACCATCCATCTCATGTTTGTTTTCAGGTTATTCGTCTAAAAGTATCTACAACCGGGATAATTTATAAAAAAAATGTTGCGTCTACCAAAATTTTTATGGAATTTTGGATACTATGACACATTCATAATAATTAGATAATTACTCAAAGTCTTGTGGGGTCTACTAAATCTTAATTTACATTGATTTGGGATCTAAGACTTGATAAAAGTTTCGTTGAACGTAACATTATTGATAATTGACTTAATTTATTGACATAATAAAATAGTAATATCTTGGTCCAACAATGTTGTTGTGACTTAAATTCTTGGATTTCATTGTTAGGACTCCATTATTTAATAAATTATTATTTTGGTAAATTAAATCAATTTTTTAGGTTAAAAGCATTACTATTGATAATTTATTGATAGTCGATCTGTCAATACCAACTGCATTCAATAAAAATTGGCAGGACTGCAAAAAAAAAAAAAAGGAAGACTGACAAACATGGTAACATGTCTAAACAATTTTTTCTCCATTGGTTTTACCCTCTTTTGGGACTTCCCAATTGCAGTTTTAAAAGACTTAAGTGGGTCATTTTCTTGTCAGTAGTATGGGCTGGGACCAGTGCGGTCAGTACAATGAAAAAAACAACTTACCCATAAGGTGGATAAATGACAGCCGGTGGTGGCGGTGGTGGTGGTGGTGGAGCTAATGGTGCTGGCCCGGCTGGGACTCCACTACTGGATGATGATGCACCACCCTGCGGCACTACAGCCCCTTGGCCTCTTCCTACATTTTCAACAAACACATCCCAATTTAGTCCAATTATCTTTCCAAGTTATTCCATTTTTTCAAAAAACATAAAATTGCAATTCACACACATAAATCAGTACTAATCAACATGATATATTGAAGTGTATCAATGTATCGACCTCGAGGCGGTGAAGGTCGAGGCCGGCCCAATGAAGCAATATTACAGTTTGCTCTTCTCCCATCAATGACAGGGTTTGGATCCGCACAAGCCCTCCTCGCCGATTCAGGATCACGAAAGGTCACCTGATCATCAAAACATAGGGTGGGTATGAATTTTACTCATTAAGTCACGGTCCATTAAGATGAATAATAGATGGATCGAGTTAGTATTAAAAACGCTTAGAATGAGCATTGACATGAACACCAAGTATCAGATACATATCCTTGGTGTGAAAGATAAAACTTACAAATCCATATCCTTTAGACTTTCCGCTATTCCTGTCAGTGATGATAACAGCTTCAAGAATCTCTCCAAACTGCTCAAAATATCTTCGCATTACATCGGTTGGTGTCTCCCAAGCTAGTCCTCCGACGAACACTTTGGTGAAAGTTGTATCACCAAAGGGTGATCGATAATGCTGGTAAGCCATGGCATCTATATCACCAGAGAAGCAAATGATTTTCCTCCTTTAAGCATGAACATTAGACCAACTACTCTCTTCTCATGCAACCCTTTTTCTCTCTCCCTCTCTACCTCCTTCCCTCTCCGGCAATAAAAAAGAGCATTGACAGAGATGGTAAAAAATAGAGAGATGGAGATAGAGATAGTTAGTTCATATGCGTTGTGATGGTTGTTGTCGATCTTGATGGGTTCTTTGAAGTGTTTAACTAAAAGAAAATGGTGGAGAGAGAGAGAGAGAGAGAAAGATCCGACAGCTGCAAACTCTTATTTGCTGTATAGGAGAAGGGTGGGGGGGTGTGGCTTTGTGGCTTTGTATATCGAATGACAGCTGCGTGACTAAGCGCACTTGAGTCTGTCCTCTCTGTTTCTGCATTAATATATCCTCCCACCTTCCAATCAATAATCCTCTCCCATCTCTTCTCTAGTTGTCTTTGTGTTCTTTTCTCCATGTTTTCTTTTGGTTTTGGCCTCTCGCTTAAGCTCTTAACCTTAAAAAAATATCACTAATTAACGTACTTTTCTTCATGTTTAGATCCTAATAAAATGTGTTTGTTATATGGAAAATGTTATACTTATCAAAAAAATTTACCAAATCCTTTATACCAAATGATGTGGTACAACTTCCATCATTAAATATTAATGAAAGTCACTTATCTAATAATAAAAAATTGTGACACATAATTTGAGATGGAGATTTGGTAAAAAAAAATAGAGCAATGTTATTGGGACCTAATTCATTATGATATTTGGATTGACTGTAGACCCCATAAAATATTAAAATTTGGTGTTAATCTAATGGTTCCAATGAAACCACATTTTAGGAAAAATATACTTTTAGTCCATCAAAGTATACGTTTAGTGTCTATTTGATCCCCCAATCTTTTAATTGCGTCTATTTAGTTCTTAAGGTTCCTACTTTGTACCTAAATGATCTAATCTCAAACATCCATCAAAAAATCGTGACAGTTCTGGTTACGCGTCAATCATTTAATTCCTAATTTTGTGTCTATTTAGTCTCCAAAATTCTTATTTTGTGTCTATTTGATCACAAATGATTGGCGCGTAACAAGAGGCATTAATGATTTTTTTTATGGATGTTTGGGATTGGATTATATATATACAAATTAAGAACTTTAAGAATCAAATAAACATAAGTAAAAAATTGGGGACCAAATAGACCCTACACACATATTTGAGCACTAAAAGATTATTTTAACTTTACTTTTTTTTGGTCGTCAAGTTGTTCACCATATTTTTTTTATACTTGTTGTTTGGATATTATCATTATAATCCCACATTTGTAGTTCTATACCCATCTTGGGGCCTGCATAACTGTCAATGTAGGGCCGCTGATCATCACCAACAACAATTGGACGTTATATTTCATCTTTTGATAGTTAGAAGAGCCTCGAATAAGTTTATTGAACTTTAGCAAATGAGGTTATCAACATCAATGACTTTCTTCTGAATCTTTAATGGCCGCAATACATGATTTTGGTAGGTCAGAACTCATAATTTCTATAAAAATGCATTTGTGGCTGTTAGTTTCCTCACTTTATTTTTGTAGTTGTCGCTTTTATTAAAAAAAAATAAGGTTTTAGTTCAAAAAAAAAAATTTGTTTTAGAGTAGTTACTTGCCAAAAAAAAAAAAAAGAACGATTTCACAATTATATGAGGCAAGACTGTATCTCTCCCAATTCTTACCGTGGCCGAAGTCTCGTACGTTGAGTTTCTTGTAGTATACTTAACATTTGTGTTGACCGACTTAATATATATTTTGATAAGATAATTTTATGTGCACTAAATTTGTATACCAAAACAATTATAGACGTTAAATTAGTGATGAAATTCACTAATCCAACAATTACAAATGATTTACTATAAATTGTAGGACACATAGCATGGCTCCTTTTGAAAATCTAAAAGAAATTGCAGAACAAGAAAGAAGAAATTGATACTAAAAACAGACACAACAGTTAGGCTAGGTAATCTCAGACATATTTTATTTGAATAAACCGAACAGATCAGACATGAATCATCATCAATGGTCGGCTGCGATAATATCGAAACTTTATCCAACTGTAGACTTCTCAGCAGCATGGGCTCATAAGAATTGCACGGTCAAACTTTTAAAATGAGCGGTAATGTTATTGAGATTTAATTTATTAATTTAATTTATTTTGACGTTTAAATTGATTCTAAATTCTATTAAATATTAAAATTTGGTGTTGACCCAATAATTTCGACAAAACAATATCATTATTAAGTCAACAAATTAAATCAAAATTTTAAGCTCAAATAAAGTTACTCTAAAAAAAACTAAAATGTCAATTATTTGGTATTAATATATGTTAATGGAAGGCCATAATGTTGTCCACACAACCACAAAGTCCCCCAAAGTCCATATGACCAAATGGGTTGACGATCGAGTTTGAAGGATTCTCCTGACATTCTGGCTTGGATGCAAACGTTTGTCATTTCATTGTTGTAAAGCTTTTTTGGTTTAATGAATCAAACAGCTTTCTATTTAAGTTTCTATTTATCAGGCCACCAAAGCATATAAGTTTAGAGAGAGAGAGAGAGAGAGAAGCACAAGGGGGTGAATATCTTAGCTTGTTGCCAGCGTTAGGGACGACGAGACAGCTAAAGGGAGCTCAAGTCCTCAAGTTATATGAGTACTGGACAAGGTCGTGAACTGTCTGTCCTCTGCACGTGGGGTCGTGTTACTCTTTGAGAAAAATGAGCTGGATTTCATCTACCCTCCTTTACACCTTGGAGATCTCTCTCTCTCTCATATAATGGGTGACCCACCCACTACATCCATCAACCAACAGGTCCAACACCTACAAATGAATTGCCTTTCAAGGCTGCAATTTTTGTGCAGAGAAGGTCCATACCAACCTTTAGAACTTCGGTGGTCAATCTCTCCTCATGTAAATAAAAGGTCTTAAGTTTGATACTTTTTACGACTCCTATAGGTTAGCCATCCTTATTATTCAAGAGACATGTCATTAAAGTAACTTAAGTTACGATAATTGTCTCAAAGTTTAAAGGAGTAGTCGGTGCAAGTCTTAACACCCCTAACAAAAAAAAAAAGAGAAGATCCATTCTGACATGTTCCGAAATAATATACTCCTCTTGGACAATAAAATTTAATGTTAATCTAATAATTAATAATAATAAAATTACATTATTAGTTCGACAAATTAAATAAAATATTTATGTCTAAATAGTATTACTCATCAAAATACCTCCCACTCCCACTTAAGGTAGTCGGTCTTCCCACCTCAAAAGGGCACCCTTTTCTAATTTTTATGAGCAGTGAGGCAGACTCTGTACATGACTATTATTCAAAAGTATTCTCCCACTTTCTCAAGATTAGGGTATTTGCTTTGCTGTCCTGATAATTAACTCTCGAAAAATGTCAAATAGACTTAAAAATTTAATTTGATAAATTATTATGATTGACTAGGTAGTTGATTTTAATAAATACTAAGACAAACAGTTAAATCAATGACAAATTTAACAGTCATATCATCAAGTCAATTTTTTAATTCTATATAGCATTACTCTTATCTCTTAGAACAAATAATTACATTAAATTTGGAAATTTTTAATTTAATTAGTAATGTGTGGTCCCCAACCATTTCCAAACTAAACATTTTGTTTCATTTATGCCTTTAACAACCACTGGCCAATCTTGTACATTACTTGTTTTCAGTTTTTTTTTTTTTTTGCTTAAATAGAAAATTTTAATAGCTATCTTGCTTTCCTCTCATTCTTTTGAATTGAGTTATTGATAGTATAATATTGAGAAACTCAAACTTTTCAATCACTTTCATAAGGGTGTGTATCTTTAGCCCACACTCAAAATATAGTTATTGAGCTACGAGAAGGAATCTTCCCCTATCTTATTCAACAACATATTTTTTAAAAAGAGGGTGTTAGTTCAAGAGTAAGGATTACTATGTCTCAAAAATGTGTCTTGCTTAGGTTGGTGCAAATGCTAGATCAAAATCTTATTACCTTACGTTGTCTATAATTTGCCTCTCTTTCAGCTAGAATTATGGACATTGTATGTGGGGTACAACTTTTACCACAAGTATGTACTAAAAAAATAGAGTTCTCAAGTTCTGACAACCATTGTTGGCCACTATACCATGGCTCAATTGCCCGATAATCCCACTAAAGTAAGAGGGTTCCCAGGGCACTCGTGGCCACACACCATCCCCAACTGGTAAACTCATGTTCATGTTTCGGACAACATCCTATAATATGTGTCCCAAGGGCCTATCTATCGGGTCCAAAAACCTTGTGTAATAATAGTTGCATTTAACTGAGAAACACCAGCATTACATAGAGCATGGAGTCCTGTCGAGTCAACCATCTAATACGTTGTGGTATGGGACATGTTCGTCATTTCACCAAAAATATAGTCACTGGGAATACTAAGTATTCGGAAGGATTGCTCGAGTACTTTATGAATAATCTTAGTTCTTACTGCAAGCTAAATCCTTAGTTTGATATGCATATATCGTGTAGTACCTTCTCTTTTTCTTTTCGTGTAGCGTAAATACATGGTTGTACATGAAATATAAAAAAATTTCGAAAAATAATTTTTTTTAAGAGCCCATATGATTATTAATATCATTAGTCGAAAGCCCAAATACAACGAGCCCAGATAACATAAGGCAGATGGGCCCCCAAAGCTGGGATTAACTGGTAAGGAGGTTTCCTCTAAGTCCAGAGCCCAGTATCACAATAAAAAGCCTAGTTTACAACTGCTCTCTCTGTCTCAGCTGTCTGAGTTGGCTATGTGTGGCTCGACAATGACAGGGTTAGGCGTGTTCAAATGTTTAAGTGGGCGTAATTTCCTACTTTACCTTACCCTATTTTACTCTACTAAATGGTTATTCGTAAAAATCAGATAAAAATATAAAAATATTTTACTCTTCTGATTAAATCGGATAAAAATATGAAATACCTATTAATTTTTGCATTCCTACCCTACTCACAAAAAATATATTTAACTTTTTTATATCTTTTTTAGTAATTATAAGAGTATTTATATGATATCATTTATATTATAACATTGTTATTGTTGTGAATGTTTGAGTTGCAAAAACATAGACTTGTTTTTTGTGTAAGTTACATGATTTATGATGAATTGGTTATCTATTGGAGCAGTTATGATTTTAATGTATTTCATATAGTTTAAACTTAAAATAATTGTTATTGTA